CAGGATGGTTGCAGCTTGTCATATTTACTCATAAATTAGCACTTGGCAGATGTACAAGGATCTGTTTATTGCTGCGTCTAGGCTGCAAGATTGTTTAAAAATTTTTTTATTTTAAAATAACTATAGATTCACAGGAAGTTGCAAAAATAATACATAGAGTCCCCATACAGCCTTCTCTTAATTTCCCCCATATGGTTGTTACATCTTGTGTAACTGTGGTACAATTTCAAAACCAGGAAATTGACATTGGTACAATATGTGTGCATAGTTCTGTGTCACTTTATCCTATGGGTAGAATCTATAACCACCACCGCCACCACTATAACCTAATCTGTTGTTTTTAGCACCAAGAGATATCTCTTGTGCTACCATTTTATGGTCCTGCCCACCCTCCACCACCTCTCACCAGTGTTAAAGCCTGGCAACCACTGATCTGGTTTTCACCACAATCATTCTGTTCTTTAGAGAATGATCTAAAAATGTAATCGTAGAGTATGTGACCCATGGAGGTTGGCCTTCTCTACTCAGAATAATGCTATTGAGATCCATCCAAATTATTGCATGTATCAATAGTATGTTCCATTTTATTGCTGAATAGTATTCCACGATATGGATATACCGGAGTTTGTTTAACCATTTGCCCATTGAGAGAAATTTGGCTGTTTCTAGTTTGGGGCCATTACAGATAAAGAAGACTATTTACATTTAATGTAGTTATTGAAATGTTAGGATATAAATCTGCCATTTTATTTTTTGTTTCCCTGTTTATATTTTTCCCTGTTGTTCATTTCTGTTTTCTTTTCTTTTCTTTTTGCCTACCTGTGCATTACTGAAAGATTTGTTAAAATTCTACTTTGATTTATCTATAGTACTTTTGAGTATATTTCTTTGTATGAATCTTTTGTATAAATTTTAGTTGCTTGAGGGATTGCATTATACATACATAACTTAACACAAGCGACTGGCATAGAGACTTTACCAGTTTGAGTATAAAGACCGTAAGTCTTTTAAATCTTAAAGTCTTCTTATAAAACTTTAATTTTCTATGACATATGTCTATAATTTTCTTAAACATTTCCTCTATATATGTAAAAAAAATTCACCAAATATTTCCCAAAGTCATTTTCACACACAGGTGGTCTAAAGCAAAGAGAGACAAAGTGAATTTAAGAAGCAGGTCAGTATCTTGGCCAGCACCAGAGAGCCTGGCTTCCAGAACGTTCCCCTTACCACTCTCTTTCTTCTCCTAACCGAGGGCTTTTCTTCTTCAGAGTCATTTATTCTTGTTGGCTGATTAGTCTTCAAGTTTTTGCCATAAGCTACTCTAGGGAGATGTTGAACGGATCCTGGGGATGGAGACACAAGAGACTGAGGCAATTACTCCAGGTCATGGAGGCAAAACACATCAAGGGCCGAGGTCACACAGGGGTCACCTAGGTCATGACTGGCTTTCAGAGAGGGCAGTGACTGGGTTAGCCTAAATACGGTTTTTGTTCTGTTTGAGGAAAGCGAAACCCCATGGTTTTCCTACCAAGTGTTTTTAGGCTTAATACAATTTTCAGGAAAGAGAAGTGACTGTGTATTTCAGAGCATGAAGGAATGTCAACATCAGGCCTTTTCCTTGATGAGAAAAAAAGAAAGAAAATGTGCAAGACGACGCCTAACTCATCTCTATCTCCACTCTTTGCTTCATTCTACTGCCAAGGTTTCCTAACTAACAAGGTGTCTAACATGAATATCTCCTGTGGCAAATCAAAGCCCCCTGCCCATTTATTTATCAGTCCTGGTGAAGGTAGACACAGTTACAACCCTTTCCTAAGACATGGCTGTGAGATTGAAAGCATTATAAAGCACTAGACCAACGATGGCAAATAAATGTCATCTTGCACACCAACCACTCAGTTGGCAGCGAATCCGGGGTCAATGCCTGGAGAATGCTGAGGACCAAGCACCATGGAAAAAGTATGGTGTGACAGAGCAGGAGAGGGAGTAGTGGGCAAATTCATGGTCCAGAACAAGATCCTGCCTAGGAGCACAGGGAGACATTTTTTCTTAATTCCTGTTCTCTGCTAATTCCTTTGAGTGACTAATAGGGGAACACTAATTCTAAAGAAAAAGTGTCTCCAGGGGTTAGGAATGGAAATAGGTAGTATCCAAATAACTGGCCACCACTCTGTTTGGATCATATGCCCTGCATGGATTCTGTACTTCTTGGTGAGAGACGAAGTAGCTAAAATAGCAAAATGGCTACCTTAGGGACATGTTCAAGGCCCCATGTACTAGTGGTGGCTCCTGAGCCTAAGGCATGACATCCCATCATGTACTTCACAGACATGACTGCTCCGTTCGTCTTGGGAAGGGCTTCTAGTAAATCACTTCAGACATTAAATGGAGGGGAAAATGTAAAGGATGATACTCTTAAAGCTGACCAGGATGCAGTGAAACAGATTCTCTAATATATTACTGGTAGATACATAAATATGTAATCTTGTTGTAAACTATTTGATAGCATGTATCAAAAATTATTTTAAGAAACACACTGTTTTCAGGAAACAAACTGAGGGTTGCTGGAGTGGTGGGGGGTGGGAGGGATGGGGTGGCCCGGTGATAGACATTGGGAAGGGTATGTGCTATGGTGAGCGCTGTGAATTGTGTAAGACTGTTGAATCACAAACCTGTACCTCTGAAACAAATAATATATTATAGGTTAAAAAAAGAAAAAAAGAAGATAGCAGAAAGGGAAAAATGAAGGGGGGGAAATCGGAGGGGGAGACGAACCATGAGAGACTATGAACTCTGAGAAACAAACTGAGGGTTCTAGAGGGGAGAGGGGTGGGGGGATGGGTTAGCCTGTGATGGGTGTTAAAGAGGGCACATACTGAATGGAGCACTGGGTGTTATATGCAAACAATGAATCATGGAACACTACATCAAAAACTAATGAGGTAATGTATAGTGATTAACATAACATAATAAAATTTAAAAAAAAACACACATTGGGCTCATCCTGCATATAAAAAAATAAATAAAAAATAAAAAACACACTGTTTAACATATTTGCAATAATGAAGCTACACCAAGAAAATAATGCAAAATAGTTTTTAAAGTCTTCATCATATAGGCTTTCATCACAAAATTATTTCTATTAGTGAAAAACTGGAAACAGCTTGAATGCCCAATAGTAACTTATGTGTGTTTGTTCAACTGGCTTGCAGATGTTTTAAATTATGGTTATTAAGACCATGTAACAACATGGATTTCAAAGCAGGGTAAAAATGAGGTAAATGCTGTAATTTTAACTGCATATAAAAATATATACAGAAACATAACCAGTAAGGAAATCTGTCAATATTATAGCTGGCTCACACTGTAGAGTTGTGGATTCTTTAAGATGTTGTATTTAAAACTATGTTGCGGTTTTGTTATTTTTATAATGGAAAACATTTAATAAAGGGAAAAGCTGAAAAGGGAATTTTGAATCATATTTTTGGAGATTTTGGAGAAAGAGTTGTCACAGCTAAGCATTACAAAGGAAAGCAGTGAGGAGTGAAGAAGTAGGCTGTCTGCTACGCTTTTTCATGTGAAAAGGAAACAAGCTAGTCCCACTGAATTAACAGATTTCCCTGCTTTTCCACTGACCACTACAAAACTTGCCACCAACATAGGAAAGCCTTGATTAGGAAAAAAAAAGTTTCCTAAATATATCTTCCTTGATCCTTTCCTTTTAGGCAGTACGAAATTATGAGTGAGTGTGAGTAACAGTACAGAGAAGGTTCTCGGCTAGTATGAGAATTGACTGCACCACTGTCAGTTCTGCCAAAGATCTAGTGTGACCAGGGACACTGTCCAAAGTAGTATTTCAGCTTTGAGATGCACCAAGCTTTAGTTCATACGGAGAACTGCCTTCTATTGAGTACTTACTCTGTGTGCTATCTGCTTTAGATGCACAACAACCCTTGCAGTTGGGGCTGGTGTTATTCCCACTTTACAGATGAGGGAACCAAAGCTAAGTAAGATGTCCAGGGAAATGAAAAGAAAGAAGCAGAGCTGTCCTGGACCTAGATCTGTCCAGCTCCAGAATCTTTGGCTTTTCTCTATGCCAGGCCAGCCCTGCATACCACTTGGCCCTGATCTCCTAACTTTCTCAGACAATAACATTCTGTCCTGTCTTCTTTCAACTGGTCTGCACAGGACAAGGCAAGAGTCTTGTCCCCCCAGACAGAGTCCCTGCACCTAGCACAGTGCCTGGTAAGGTATTTATTTATTGACTGCACCAACCCATACCTGCACCCATTCTTTCCTTACTCCCACAAGAGTCTGGATAAGAATTGGACATAATAAGATGGGAATGCAATCTCATTCATTCACAGCCAGTCAAGAGCTTGCAGATTCAGTCTAGAAAGCTCCCAGAACAAATTGTGCATGTGCAGACAAGAGATAAAAAGATAATACTGCTTTCAGCCCAAGATACTACCTGCCAACACTTAATGATAATATCTGCCCATCTCTGTGGCTCTGTTTTGTCACCTTCCCAAGACTGAATGTCCATCTGCCCTCCTACCAATCCAGGCTCTGAGATTCCTGACCTCCAAAACCCTGAATCAAAGCATTCCCACAGAATCAACTCCACATTTGGGAGCTGGCAGTCGGTCCTGAAGTGTGTGACAGTGTGACTAAGAGCATGGCGGCAGTGTTGCCTGCCCTGGCCACAGGCTGTAGGCAGGAGAATTCTGGGAAGAAGGGGGATGGATGGCCCTTTTCTGATTCATTGTGCCTGTATGTGTGGGTATGTGCACGCAGAGAAGAGAGAAGAGGCAAAGAACTAAAAGGCTTCGGTCAACAAAATCACAAGCCAAGGCAGAAGGGAAAGGTATTTTATGGGCTTGGCTGGAAGAGCTGTTGCAAGAAATGGAGGGATCCCACAATTCCCTGTGGATGCTGCTCCCTACTTTCTTCCCTCCCTCCCTTTTCCCTTCCTGCCTCAGGGTCAGGGTCCCTGGTCACCTCCAGTCTTCCTGGGAATCCTTGGCCATGGAGTTAGGTGAGACTAGATTGGAAAAGATGGCCTTTCTCGGTGCTGTTGTGGCCATATTCTTGATTTTGTTCAGCTTGTCCCGGGCCTGTTGGCATTTTTTCAGGCAACTTGAACACAGATCCTTCTCTTCTACCAGATATAAGTTGTCCAGCCTCCTGATGGTATCTATGAATGTATCTGACTCCTCTGCCTTGGGAAAGGGATTTCGCTTTGTGTTGAGCTTTTTGAGCTTGGGGAGCTTGGAGATGCTCTTAGGGATGGTGGTCAGCAGGTTGTCATGTAGCCCCACATCATGGAGCTCCTTCAGAGCACCCAGTGTGGTGGGCACACTGTCCAGATGGTTCAAGCCTAGGTTCAAGGTGCGGGTATTCTTGAGCTGATTGAGCTCCACAGGCAACCCATTGGTGGTCAGCCTGTTGTTGCTGACATTGAGGTAGAGCAGAGTAGTCATCTGGCCGATGGACTCAGGAAGCTTGTCGATGTAGTTGCTGTGCAGGTCCAGCCACCGCAGGTTCTGGAACTTGGAGATTGATTCAGGGATTTTTCTGATCAGATTCCGGCTAAGGTCGAGCTCATCCACATCATTCAGTCTCAGGATACATTTGGGGAAGTTGGTAATTCCCATCTTGCTCAAGTCAAGGCGTTTTCTCCCATCAAATGTGATTTTGATACAATTCTTGGCCACATTGAGGGTGATCTTCTTGCCCTTGGGGCCTTTCCCGCCCTTGGCCATGTTCTTTTAGTAAGGGTGTATGTTTGAAGTGTGTTGTTCTGATTGGTTGGTGATCAGTTTGAGGGAAAAGTCACAAGAAACTGCTAGATATACTGTGACAAGAAGAGAAAATATGTCTAGTTAGGAGATGACATGAGGGCACTAGACTCCCCCCGAGTTGTAATGCTTCACTCGCTAGTGGTTAATGGAGAGAGATGCCTGGACAGAAATTAGGGCATCAGCAGAAGTCACCTCGCCAAAGATCTTCAGCAAATTCAGTGTCCTCTTCGGGGATGCAGGGCCAGCTGAAGGATGCTCAATGCCCCTCTGGCTGTGCCATTCCCTGACATATAAATCTCTCCACTGTCCTGGACTCAAACATATCCCCCTCCCCCACCAAGGGGTACGTATGTGTGTGTGTGTGTGTGTTCTTGGCTATCTGTCACTTCCCAGACCCTCACAAAAATCTAGTGTTTCCTTACAGTTATCCCATGAGTCCCTAGGGTGGGACTGCTGAGTTCTCAGAAGCAGCATAGCCTGAATATGAGGGAATAGGTGGGAGTTAAGAATGACTTACGTAGTACATCTCTCCTCACCTTCCTTCTGGACCCAGAGGCACCAGGCAGTCCTGAGCTGCTGTCACTGCAGTGCAACAGGAACAACACAAGAGCATCTTTCACTCAGCCCGCAAGTGGACATGTGTGCCTACACCTCGCTGAGGAGTGTGGAGGAGCCAGGGTTGAGCCTGGCAGTAAAAGAATGCTGTCTTTTTCTACTTCCTACCCCCTACACTTCCTCCGTCACATCCTTCACACTGCAATTCAAGTGCAGGCACCTCAGCACTGAGAGGTATGACTATGTTTATGACATTAGTTAATGACTGCTGCCATATGGAGAAGTAGAACGGACAGAGTCATGGGTCGATTCTGGCCTCAGAATGCTTGGCTTAGAAGTCTAGCTCTGCATTAAAGGATTTTCTTAAATTTTCAGTGCCACGGTTTTCTCATTTATGAAAACAGCCCCCTTACAGGGCTCTTGGGGAGTGTAAATTATCTAAGCTATAAAGTGCTTACAACAGTGCCTGGCACATAGTAAAAGCTTGATTAATGTTAACTATTAAATACTATTATCAGGAACTTTGCACATATTCCTTTTAATCTCCAATAATCCAGTAAGACCCATAGGATTATCTCCATTGTAAAGAGAAGAAGACGGGCTTGGGAGTGAGGAAGATCTTTAGCTAGAAAGAAGATGCAAACCATCCTGTCCTATTCTAGAGACTCTTTTCTAAAATGTGGTGCCTCTTGCTTGCTTGCTGATTTTCTATTTTGGACCAAGCTCCCAACCTGGACAAAAGCATCAGGAGACAGATGCTTGCATTAGCTTGCATTAGCTCCATTTCCCCACAGGGATGAGTGGGAGAGATGCCCTGCAGTTTCTATAGTTCATCATTCAGGCCCTTTATCAGGAACCAAGTTTACAAAACACATGAAGCACCAGCAATCAGGCTATGTGAGTCTATCATCACACATTTTCCTCATACAATAATCCTCAGTATCAGAAGGAAGTGGGTAAAAATTACCTTCCAGGTGCTTACTATCAATCCTGCTATTGCCATTTCTAGCTAAGGTCAGAGGGTCCTACTCTACGCAAGTCATCCTGGATCAGAGCCTCCTGGGATGCAGATCTCCATAGTAAACCAATGAAAGTATTCTTAGCTCTCAGCAGCACTGATGTTCTTTCAGGCAGGCCTTGAAAGCTGAACCTGTTCTTTAGAAACCATGAACTAACCATATTCAGGCATAATTGGCTGGTTACCAAAGACAGTACTGTGTTCACCACTACTGAAGTTTTTATATCACACAGCATTGAGGAACCAGAAAGGATAAAGCCGATTAAAAATGAAGGCTGGGTTTCTAGCCACAGTTAAGATGGAATAAGTGCACTCTTCCCTGTTTCATCTATTGAATGCAACTAAAGGTCCCTGACAGAATTCCTGGAGCAGCTCTCTGAGGATAAGATGAAGGATAAGGTAAAAAGATATCTGAGGATAAGATGATAAACAGTATCAGACAGATTGGAAATGTAACTCAAAATAAGACCAACTTTGCAGCAATGGTGATGGAAAGATTTATAAGAAAAGCTCCTTTCTATGGCCAAAACAAAGAAGGGGGGTCTCCTGGGATCATAGAGAATGAGGGAGATCTCCTGGTGTTTTCCCTGTTTGTTTTTTTCCATCCTCTGCTGGCTGAGCCCCAGGCAATCCTGTATCACTAGAGTTAGCCAGGCAGACAGCTAAAACTCTGAGGGAGGAGAACCATTGTCTCTGACCAAACTTCAATCCCAAGGACATGGAGGTTGCTTTTTTCCTCTCTACCCAGTGCCACTTGGCCCCAGAGGCATAAATAGTGGCAGGAAGTATATAGCAGATTTAGAAAATAAAAATCCCAAGATTTCTATTCAGAAGACCAAGGAAGGAGACCACTCCTAGAGCCACAAAGGGTGATTTAAAGAGGAAGGCATTTAATGACATCATATATGAACTTCTGGACACACCCTGAGATGTCTATGCATGGATAAAACCCTGAATAGCGTCTTTAGTACCTAATCCCAAACTGTGAACCCAAAAGCTTTGAACGTTGAGCTGAGAGGTAGACCACTGTACAGGTAGAGATACTGATTTGAATAGCACTGAAAATTCTTTGACGACTGAATGGACACTGTACCCATAGTCTACAGAATCTACAGAAGGTGTGCCAGAACTTGTAGCCTGTGATTGCCTGCTAAAATACATACATATCAATATCAATATATAGGTCTATCCTAGAAGAAGGAGAGGAAAAAGTCGTGGTGCAGAACAATATTTGAAGGAAAAATGGGTAAAAACTTTTAACTGTTGATAAAAGATATAAAAATGATAGATGCAAGAATCTCAGTGAACTCCAAAGAGGACAAATAAGCTTAAAAAAAATCCACACTCAGACATATAATCAAACTGCTTAAAATTAAAAACAAAAAAATTCACATTCACAACCTGCCAGAGAATACATATTATCTATAGGGGCCAGCAATTAGAATGGATGTACATTCCTCACTGGAAACCATGGAGGCCAGGAGCACTGGAAAAATATAGTTTTCAAGTGCTGAAAGTAAGGAACAGTCAGGCAGACAGTGAATGACGGTATCCTGGATGAATGAAGGCAAAATGAGGACATTCTCAGATGAATGAAAAATAAAAGGATTTGTTACTATGGCTGAGCTGCTATAGAAGAAATGCTAAGGGAAGTTCTTCAGATGAAAGGGAGATGATATTAGAAACTTGGACTTGGGAATAGAGGAAGAGCTATGGAAATGGTAAACATCTGATAAACAGACTACTCTTCTCCTCTTAAGATCTTTAAAATATGTGTGACAGTTGAAAGCAGAAATTATAACAGTTTGGTGGGGTTTTCAATGTAGGTACATGAAATACATACGACAAATACAACATAATGGGGGAGGTATTGGGACCTATATGGTAGGTAAGATTTTTACACTGCTTTGGTAAAATATTAATTCTAAGTAGGCTGTGGAAACATAAGCATGTATATTTTAATCTCCAGAGCAATCACTAAAACAATGTACAGACAGAGGAATAAATAAAATATATACATTAAAATGAAACTGTAAAAAAATTAGAAGTCAAATAATCTAAAAGAAAGCAGAAAAGGCGAAATGGAACAAACAAAAGCAACTATTAAAATGGTAACCTAAATCCAAACATGTTAGTACTTCCATTAAATGAAAATGACCTAAACACACCAACCCAAAGCATAATTATCAGAATGGGTAATAAAAGAACAGGACCCAATTATATACTATATATAAGAAACCCACTTTATATAAACAAAAGTAAGTTAAACTAAAAGAATGAAAAAAGACATACTCTGCAAACACTGAAGGGGAACTGGGGAGTGACTTTATTAACATCAGACAACATATATTTCAGAGCATGAAAATTTACCTGAGATTAAAAAGAATACCACATAATGATAAAAGAGACACTTCACCATGAAGGTATAAAAATACTAAATGTATATGTACTTAAGACCAGAGCTTTGATATAAAAGAAACAAAAGCTGATAAAATTGAAAAAGGAAATGGACAAATCTATAATTAGAGGTGGAGACATCAATACTTGTCTCTCAATAATCAATAAAACAGACAGGGCTTCTCAACCTTGGCTCTATTGACATTTGAGGCCAGATAATTCTTTATTTTCTTTGTTGTTAGCAGGGGTGGGGCAGTGATGGGGGAAAGCCCTGTTCCATGCATTGTAGGATATTTAGCAGCAGAAGGCCAGAAGAGTCTATGCACTAAATGCAAGTAGCTCTCCACTACTTGTAACAACCAATAATGTCTCTAAACATAGCCAACTCCTCACTGGGGCGCAAAATCGCCTCCAGATCAGAATTGTTAATATAGAAGAACTGAACATTACCATCAATCAACTGGATCTAATTGACACTTAAAACATTCTACCTAAAAAAAAAAAAAAAAAAAAAAATTCTACCTAGCAATGATATACACATTCTTTCCAAGTGCAGATGGAACATTCACAAATATGAACTATATTCTTGGTTATGAAACAAACCTTAACAAATATAAACAAATTGAAATAATGCAATATTTTCTCTGAAAATAATGGAATTAAATTAGTAATCAATATCAGAATGATAACTGGAGAATCTCCAAATAGTTAACAAACCACATATTTATAAATATTCGTGAGTCAAAGAAATCTCAAGGGAAATTAGGAAATGTCTTGAACTGAAGAAAAATGAAAATAGAACATATCTAAACTTATGGTATGCAACTAAAGTAGTGATTAGAGGGAAATTTATAGCTTTAAATGTTCAACCTAGGAACATTTTAAAAAGTAAGAAAGGTCTTAAACCAATAGTGTAAACTTCCATTTAAAAAACTAGCAAAGAAGAGCAAAAAAACCTAAAGCATGCAGATAGGGTAAATAATAAAGAAAG